ATCTATCTATCTATCTATCTATCTATCTATCTATCTATCTATCTATCTATCTATCTATCTATCTATCTATCTATCTATCTATCTATCTATCTATCTATCTATCTATCTATCTATCTATCAGTCCCTATCATCTTTTATTCCTCCCCTGACCTCTGCTAACAGTGTTCAGATCTCCTTAGGTGCCTCAGCTGTCTCCTAGTGCCCTGAGTGATCACATCTTTTTGTGAATTTGCCTCCAACAGTACTTGGTTAATGATCTTTTAAAACACTTGTAGCATTCTTCAGTCAATCAGGCAATGACTTCACAATAAAAGTCAGGTGTAATGGCTCTCCTAAACTCTGCTTGACACTCTGATTGTTCAGTGTTGTACAGGCTGCCATGTGTCTTTTACCAAGACTGGCAACATTCCAAACATGCATAGTAGGTTGTTTTTTTTTTTTTTTATTATTAGGTAGTTTGCTGCACTGAAGCCTTCTAGTGAATATTTTACTCTCAAAACCTATGATTTCTTCATTGCCATGTCATCATCTCCTATGTGAAGGAAGTTTAATGCCTCTATGGATGAAAAAACCCAAAATTGAATACTTGTTAAATGAAGGACAGTTTCAACGCCAGTAATCCTCACTGAAACACAAAGCAAATTACTTAAGATTGAGAATAAATGTTATATGTTTTGTCTTTAAAAATAATTTTTTTTTTTTTTTCTTTTTTTTTTTTTGAGATTAAAAACATTCAGAGCTAATAGAAGCAGTGAACCCTTCCAGTTGTCAACAGTATGAAATCCAAGATTATAATGGTTTGTTCACTTAAGCATGGATCCAAGCAGAGAGTCTACCATAGTTGTAGATGGCCACCTATGGATCACACTGACCATGTTGATGCAGAGACAGAGAGCATGATCTGAGGGTTGTGAAAGCAGTGTTTCCAAATTGCTGCTAAGAATACGAGAATTGGTAGCAAAGATCAGCACCCCACAGGAACAAGTGGCACACGGATATAGAAATCAGCCAGCATGGGACTGACATATTTAATTGTGGGATACTGAAGGGGTGAATCTGGACCCATCATGTCCTAAGTGCCTCAAGGATAAGTTAACTTATAAAACTAGAACAGGCAGGTATCTGTGAAGATGGAGGAAGTATACATCTCAGTCTAAAAGAGCGACATGCCATGGATTGGAGTCACACTATTAGGAGTTTAAAAAAAGGCAAATTTTTCTTACAGCAGCCTTACAAGCTGCTAAAGAGAGAAGGACAATCTATGGTTGTTAAATATCAGTTTTTGAATGACCATTTGTCATGTAGTAGACATCTGGCAAGTAACACGGTTTTTCCTGCTAGAGACAGAAGACCTCAAGATATGTTTTTCTGTGCATTCTAAGGCTAAGAAGTGTTGGTTTTATTTTTTTATGCAGATTATTATGCTATTTGTGTGTCTTATATTTACAGAGTGTGCAGCCTGATGCAGCGTCACCAATGCATGTAAGTCTCAGTAATCTTGTACTCTCTCCATGATGTGTTTTAAATGAAAGCGATCACTTTCTTGGTGACAGTGCCCAGTTTATAATTTGTGTTTGAATGCATGAGTGCATGCATGTGTTTGAAAAATGAAGGCTCTTGGGGTAGAATCATTTTATTCAGTGGATATCAGAAAGTCAGAAAGAACTACAGGAAATGATAGACACTGTGATAGTAGAAAGTGGAAGAATGGGCCTCAGTTTAAATAATGGGAAGACAGAAGTAATGGTGGTATCAAAGAAAAGAATTATTCCTACATGTGTAATAAAAGTCAATATTGTTATTTTGGGACAAGTACAGAAATTTAAGTATCTAGGCACATGGATAACATCAGATGGAAGATGCATTACTGCAATAAGAAACAGAATAGGACAGGCTAAAACTGCATTTTATAAAATGAAGAAAATCTTATGCAATATATCTTTGTCATTAAAGGTTAGAAAAAGAATTCTTGCTTGCTACATACATTCAGTTTTAACATATGGCTGTGAGTCCTGGACAATCGGTAGGCAGGCCAAACAATTTCTTGAGGCCTCAGAGATATGGTTTTACAGAAGAATACTTAAAATACCTTGAACAGCCAAAAAGAGCAACCAAGAAGTTTTGAAAGAGGCGGGAGCCTGAAGACAACTTATCACAGACATCAGAAGGAGACAGTGATTATTTTTTGGCCGTGTTATGAGAAGGGGGGGGAAAATGGAACATGTTGGGACCACTGGAAATATCTGTGGAAGGAGAGATAGGGGAAGACAACGAGAGAAGTTACTTGTTAGTCTTGTAACATGGCATGGAGGTGTTTCAGCACACGAACTAATACATGCTGCAGGTTGTGGAGATGGCATGATTGCCCATGCCATTCGGCAAGGCACCTAATGATGATGATGATCAGAAAGTAAGTTATGGGCAAAAACTAATTGGTTCAGTGTTAGTCATGGCTTTTATCCACGGGCTGCAGGTGGTTCTGTAGAATGTAATAGAACCATACACAGACAGCATTGATATATATTCACATCACAAACAGATTAGAAGCCAGAACTGGCTGATAGTTGATTAGCAGAATAGCATGGACAGCAAACCTTGTCTTGTATATAGAAGGCTTTCTAACTTGATACTGAAAATCTTAACAGTTGGAAAGAGGATGAATTTACATTTATTTTAAATTGTGTATTTGCTTTTGATTTTTTTTTTTGGGGTGGGGGGAGGGCTGTGTAGCAAGGTGACTAGGGCCTTGCATACTGGACCAAAGGTCTTGGGTTTAAATGTGCACCAGGACATATTTTTGTAATAATTTACTTTGGCTTCCTATCTGACCCAGTCTAAACTGGCTACCAGAAAATTTCCTGGGAAGTAAAGGCACCTGTCATGATGTTGACTCACATCACCCATTAAGTGCCAGCTAGTCAATAACAATATGAGTAATCATGTGGTCGTAGTTCCAGCTTCTTAGCAAAGGGGTCACCTCATAGTTGCTCCATTTCTGTGTCAACAAAAACCACACAGAATGTCTATAACTGTCCAGTGAGAAAAGAATTGACACTATCTGTGTCACATATTGCTCCTGTCGCGTGCCTGATTTAAGGTTTTCTCCTTAAGAACCAACAGCACTCTGAAATAATTATGTTGAGTCGTTGGCTCGTATTGGTGACCCGTGGCCAGTTTACGCTCCACTTATTTCAGGAGTAGGGCAACTCAAGCTTTGGCACTACAAAATATATAATATTCCTAGGCACACTTGGCTGGACACCCCCACTACTATAAAAAGGTAGCCCCCAGGTTATGAAAGTATGCTATCATAACCATGTTAACACAGATGAAGATTATTAGTTGAACATACATGTATTTTAGACAGCTAAGAACAATGAATGAGTGACACTCCAGTCAATAGTAAAACTTTAGAAATACTTTAATAAGTGTAACACATACATTATATAAGAATCAGCAAAAAACTTCAAGAACCCAGAGTGATATGAAGGACCAAAACTTCAAACTCGATCTGACTGAACGTGTATGAATGTTCCAGAGTCTGCCTAGATCATCCTTATGATGAGTGTGGACATTTAATAGTGAAGCCTGGCAATAAACCCATGATTGCCCACACTTATCTGAATCCCTGGTTTCTTGAACTGGCTGGATGTTCAGTCACTCTGTTGTTACGTTCAAGACAGTCCCACACTAGACACTCGAACACTGGAGATACACCCAAGCTCCTGGAGAGGTTCTCAGGTACAAAGTCAAACACTTGAGGCACAAACAAACTGCCGGATAACTAATGATGGAGGTACAACACCCATAATGTTGTCTGTAGACCAACTGGAGGATTTCATTACTTGATGACCACAGTTAGGTTTACAATCTGATGCCCACCACTGGCTTAGACATGGGTGACTTCCTTGTAGGTGGTTTTGTGGACTGCTGATTCACTGCCTGGCCTCCAAGGAGATATCATCCCAAGCTTAGGAAATGTCCTAGACACCAAAGGCCGCCTCCTCAAAGCATAGATGTACGAGGCACATTTGAGAACATCTGTTCTTCTAGGCAGTCAGGCAGAAAATCCCCGCTTCAAACTACATTTAGCGTCACTAGGAAAGAAGTCCCCTGTATTCATGCCTAAGGAGTAAACCGGCTTACAGGAATTTCTGAATTAAACACCAGAAATCTTCAACCTACAGTTGCAAGTTTGAAAATGAAGATTTATCAAAGCAACTAGAGGGTCTAGAAATGAATATATTACCAGATAAAGGTATATATAAATATAAAGGACTATATACCCTTCTGGACGGGTTTAAGTTTGAAATTTGACTGTCCGCGTAGGGAAGTCAGAGTCACGACTCGTCCATCGTGTAGGGTTAGGTACTCACTTCACGACAATCTGCAGTCTCAACAAACTCAGTAGCAACACATTAAATGCATAAGGCAGCCTTTAAAAAGTTGTCAAGACAAAAAGTCAGGCACCAGAAATACAGTTCATCTTGGATGGAAGCAGCATTTACAGTAGATCAGTAGTTGCACAAGCAGCTAGTTGTATAAGACACCACCAGATCTGCATCAACAAGCCACATGCCATATTCTGAATCCTGCAGTTCACAATACAAAACACTTTGGTCACAATCAAACAAGCATTTCAGATAAAATTCCCATCTCACGGTGTCACACCTTGCACTCAGTTCAGTAGCTGGTTGACAAAACTATGTACAGTCAATACACAGAGAAAAATTAGATGGCTAACTCATGTCGGAATCAGACACTTGCCATTACTAAAAACAGATGCCGCCTATCCGCCATATCAACTGGAAGTGAAAATGTAAGTGTAGCGTCATAAGCCTGATGTGCTATTGAGGTGAAAAAATTGTTCTTTATTTGTTACTTTACTTTGTTTATTCATTCATTCATTCAAAGTTTGCTTTGAATTTTGTATCACCTGAAAATAATAAATAATGTCTAAAACCAAAGCATGAAATATATGTGTTCTTTTATTTTACTAGGGCTTTAATCACTTGATTGTGTTCAGCCGTCCATTTTATTTTTGCCTGTGTTGCTCAATCGTCCTCCTGCTTGATTATGGCAGCCACACAGAATATCACAAGCCCATCTATTTGTATGGCATTCCATTCACAATTTCCTCAGCTCTGATGTTCCTTGAGCAATTTTTCAGAGGTAAGTATCAGTGTACAAATGCATCAACTTGTGCCTATTGTGTCTGTGATGTACACAATTAGATCGCATACAGACATATATTTGTGCATGTTTTGTAAAGTGTTTAGCATCTTCTATAATAAATTGAGATTAAATACAAAACCTGAGCATACGAAACCGAACGCAAAGAAGAACGAGAAGAAATACAAGTATTTGGTATTTTATGTGAATTATGAGGTTAAAATAATTAGTGTCTTTTAGGTATGTTGTGGAATAAAATAAAAGTATACGCTGTAGTATTTGTATTACAAATGTAGTAGAGTAAAACTTCAATTCACTGTCACTCGTTTAACCATCAGTTTCAATTATGTCATCATCTAAAAAATGTGTGAATATCAACAGACAGTGAGACATTAATTTTACAGTAACCCAGGTTTATAGTAGTATATGTAAGGAAACACATTTTAATCATGAAGATATTTCAGAATAACTATTCACAGACAATCAGATACTCATAGCAGAAAGTACTGAAGGCCTACAGAACCACCTAAATCAAATTAATAACAAAGGGGAGGAATATAATTTTCAAATAAAAACTACAAAGACAGAGACAATGGTGATAGGAAAACAGAAAGTCAGTTTAGAAATAAAATTAAAAAACGCCTCAAGACAAACACAAGAATTCAAGTGTTTAGGAGCAATTTTCACATCTGATGGAAAACTGGACAGAGAAATTAGCATGAGATGTGCTAAAGCTAATCAAGAAATGGGGCAGCTATCTCCACTGTTGACACACAAGCCATATACCCTGGAGTACTAAAGTGAATATTATCAGAAGGTAGACACTTACATCCTCTAATGAATGTAAAATTGTGATAATAGAGATTAAAAGCCTTATAAGAACTCCAGGAGTTTCAAGTAAAGACAGAATATGAAATAATGAAATCAGACGAATGCTAGGAATAAAGCCAGTCTTATAGGTAATCAATGAAAATAAAATGTAGTGGTTTGGACACCTAACAAGAATGCCCTGATACTATCTGCCACAATGAGCCACACTGAAACGTTACAACGAGTATAGAGTGAGCGGAAGACTCAGGAAAAGATGGAGTTATGGCATTAAGAACAGTCTTACAGAAAAGAACATTAATCTTAATAGTGCTCTTAACAGAGCTCATCAATGAATGACACTTCGCTGAGGTACAAAGTGGAAGAGAAGAAGAAGGTTTTTTTCAGTACATTTCTTTACATTACTGCTCTTATATTGAAGTTTATATTGGCTGTTTTGTAAAATTAAAAACATTATATATGTATATTTTACTTTAAAGGATTTTATTTTCATCTTTGTCCCAAGCCCACATTGAACTCACATTATGTACATATTTCTTAAGAGATTTCTGTTACCCGTCTTTCTGGTTATCCGTCACAGCTCTGGTCCAGGCAGTGATGGTTAAGCAAAGTTTTACTGTATGTAAATGGTAATTGTATAGGTAAAATACAAAAACCTGTTGTTGTTTTTTTGTGTCATAAACATTTCAGATAATATAATATTAAGCAGGCAGTTGATAAGAAAATTCAACAGTAAATATAGTAAAATAGGAATTTTTATTTTTCGAATAGATTCAGTAGAGATAAAACAATGTATTCATTGGTTAATCCACGCATTACTTCTTTTCTCAGAGGCATCTAGTTATTAAACTAGCCACTGTTTGGGAAGTGTTAGGCCTTCACATATTTGAAGTCACACAGATAAACTGGGGTGGCGTATTCATTCTTCTTAATCTTTCCTGCCCAAGCAGTTACCAGAAAAGTTTCTGATAATCATTTTTATCAGCCAGATTCAACTCCAGAGCCACTCACCCTCCATCAAGTGTTGAGTTATCCATGCACAAATATGGATCTAGCACCAGGTCTGGTATCCACTGGAGTGAAAAGGGTCCTTTTTATTTGAACATAGTATAGACTTGCTTTGGCACTGCGGAGACTAAAACAGCATGAAGAACCTATGGCACAGCAGCTCCTACAAACGAGTTAAGGTTTTCATAAGGAGATCCTGCATCTTTTACTTGGCAACTTACGGATGTGAGTCATGGACTCAATCTCTCAAGAAAAAATCAGAGCTTTTGAGAAAAATCAGAACTGAAATGCTGCAGAAAAATTCTTGGAATACCATAGAGAAGAAGAAGAAAAACGCCAACATCCTGCCTGATCTGACGTCGAGGAGAACTGGCTAAAAACGGCATCCTGTCCTGAAAGCTGGAGTATTTTGGTCATGTTCAACATCATAGTGGCCTGGAGAGAATGATGATGGAGGGTGCAGTTTCCTGAAAATGAGGCAGGGGCCGACCTCCGCAGGGGTGGATAAAGGAGATTGAAGATGTATTGACTATGAAAGCACATGGGGTTGGAAAATAGGTTAGAGAAGGACAGACTTTCAGGCATGCTATGACGAGAGTGATGTTCTGTAAAGGATCTGCTGATTGGTGGATAGTAAACATGTTGTCGTTTTTAAAGTAGATAACCTCATAAGTTTATGAATATTTTATCTCATCCCCAGTATTTATCCTGTCATTTCCATTGCTATTCACCCTGGGTCTTCTGCCTCAAGTCAACACGTTCCTCATGTATATGCTGGAGCAAATTGACATGCATATCTTTGGTGGCAATGGTAAGTGCTAAATGAATATCATCCTCATTATTACAGTTAAGGGGAGGTGTGGTTTTGTCTGTAGTGGATGCCATTGCTCTGCATACAAGTGCCAGAGATGTTTCTATTGCTGTTAGTTTTAGGCTCACTTCCCATTATTCAGAGCCCTGGTTGGGAGAAGGAGACCGTCTGCCCCTCTAACAATGTCTGTTCCATTCCGCTTTACAAAAACAAAAACAAATCTCGACCAACAAGCATGTCATAAAAGGCGACTAGCTATGGGTTTGCTGGAATCAGATCTGTTGGGCCCAGTTGCACGGAAATCAGAACCTAGCCATAAACCTTAACACAAAATGTCAGCCGCTCTTTTATGGGCTACCACAGAAGAAGAAGAAGAAAAGGTCACATGTGAACTATGATTGTTGTGTTTTTTTAATCAGCCTATATTTGTAAATAAGATTGTTGGTAACAAGCATGTTTGTGTATAAGATTGTTACTGACAACCTATTTATAAATTGTACCTATACTGTTATGGTCGTGTTTAGCATGTTATATATTTGTGCCTTCATTGTTTACACAGTTTATATTTCCAACTTAATATGTTGTTAACAATTTTTGTTTAAAGGTTGCAAACAAATTATTTGTTAACTTCTAACCGGCTATGTTTGTTTGTAAGATTTGTTGACGGGCCTTGAATTGTCATTTGAATGCTGACAAAATAAAAATATGTATCAAATTGCTTTTAATAGGTGTTTTTAATCTGTAATTAAAGCTACTAAATTGTAAGATTCTAGCAGCTTTCATATTGTTTATATATAAGATTGTTACAACCAAGCAATGTTTGCATGTAGGTCTGGTGCAAGCTCTTTGTTCTTTGGTTTTGTTTCAGCCACTACATCTCTGCTGACCTCATTCTATTGTGTTTGCCGCAGTTGTTTTGCCTTGATAGTTTTGTATGGATTTACTTTTGCATCACTCAAGGTAAGTGTGTCATTTATTATCATTAACCATTTGACCTTATGGGATCATTTTGATCATTTTTTTTTCTCTCCAGAAGATAAATAATTGAGGTACTCCTGTTGACTTGTATATAAAAGGGGGAAGTTATCGTCAATCAGAAGGTTCTTTACAAAGCTTTTCTCATCACATCACGTCCGAAAGTCTCTCTCTTTCTCTCTCTCTCTCTCTCTCTCTCTTTCTCTTTTTCTCTCTCTCTCACTCTTTCTTTCTCTCTCTCTCTCTCTCTCTCTCTTTCTCTCTCTCTCTCTCTCTCTCTCTCTCTCTCTCTCTCTCTCTCTCTCTCTCTCTCTCTCTCTCTCAGACCAATTCTCCAGCCCTGTTTGCTTTCATAGCCAATACAGTTTCAGCGTTTTGCATCCACCTTCGTTGGGGTCAGCTTCTGCCTTTTTTTTTCAGAAACTACCCATTATCATCATTTTCTCAGGCCACCATAACGTTAAACAAAACCAAAATAGCTAAGCTTTCAGGACTTGATACTGTTTATGAACCAGTTTTCAATGTTCCTATTATGTAGTATGTCATTTTATTTCTTCTTTTTTGGTCTATGGTTTTCTAAGAATTTGTATGTAACATTTCAGTTCAAAAGCTCTGATTTTTTATTTATTGATTGAGTAAAAGTTCATCACTCACATCCATAGGTTTTCATGGAAAACATGCATGATCTGACAGTTTTTACTTTTAATTTATAACAGTCCAGACAAGAAGTTGATCAAATCAGCAAATGAACTGTGATACAAATACAAAACAAAATACACAAATATCACTGATTTGTCAAATGGGGTTCAGGTGCTCTGTATGTGTGACAGATGTGGGGGGGGGGGGGGGGGGGGGCACAACTAGCATGTTGTAAAAGGTGACTCAGGTACTGGAATAAGACTAAAGTCACAGAAATATGGACAAACAACCAGAACTTTCCAGAAGTGGACCCCAGAACTTTTCCCGGAGTTTACAGCCGGTAAACGCTAAGAAGAAAAACGAAATTAGCTCAGTAATCTCTATAAAGCATAAAAATGTGGTTTTACAGGTTGGCGTTAAAGGTAACTTTTTTATATTTTGAGAGTAAAATAAAAACTTGTCACAAACATCAGAAGAAAAGAGGCTTATTTTTAACGACATTACTGAGGATACAGCATGAATGTGGTTTGGCTGCTGTATGATAAAACAGGGGGGGAGGGGGGGCAGATACAAATATACTGACACAATTCCGTTCTAATAAACACATTGCAAACATCAAACTATCATCTTAACTAGCTTTTACAGTGTCTCAGCCAGTGTTACAGCAGCTGGTGTGAAATAGGTTTTACTAGCTCTTGAATCGATCTGTTCTCATAAAACTAAATTGTGCAGTCTCCACAGTGGAAGTTGGTTTCTGTGTCTCTGCTGCTGCCTGTTGGCTTATTACCCAGTGAAGCCCCAATCTCTTCCACGGTGCACATCTTGTACCGCTGTCTAAGGGCCATGAGACTGATATTTTTTATAGCCTCCTCATAACATGTCTGGAAAACACTGTCTATGTCCAGTTTCTCTGATGACTTTATAACTGTTATAGTGTGCTGTCTTGTTTTTTGGTAATTTCTTGTTCAACGACAGCACACTGAGATATGTTCAGTTATTTTGAAATCATTAGTGAGTGTGTGTTTTTTAGCAGTTTACTTTTTAATTGTATTTCTGTTGAAATATTGGATTTTTAAAAAACCGTATGACTTTATATTCTAGGAAATTGGTGGATCACACTACAAATGTGGGACCAAAATTGATGATGCAGCCCAGAATGTGCCTTTCTCCATTCTCTGTGGTCTGATGGTCACGGTAGCTTACCATCTCAGTAGATCGGCTAGTGATCCAGGAATGCTTTGGTGAGTAAAGTACGGTCATTTCAATTTCGGTTAAAATCCCCTTTGGTCAGAAGAATTTGAAAGCCGTTGGGGGAAAAAAATTCAAAGTGAGCAATAGCCTTTCAGTGGGCTGCATTATCTTGATGGCTAGATGCTTGCCTGTCAACCTTAGGGTCTTCTTTTTGAATTCACAACAAAGAGAATTTTTTTGACATTTTAATTAAATAACTGACATTGTTTCCAGGCCTCCCCATCTGGGTTGCAGGACCCCATTTAGGGAAAACTAAGAATAGACCCGCTACCCTTCTCCTAACAAACGTTGTAAAAGTCGACTAATTTGTGGTTGTTTCTTGTGAAGTCAAAGTGCATCTGCCTGACAGGTGAGGAACCAAAAGTCTGCACACAAATAAGCCAGATCTGCAAAATGTATGTGCATGCAAAACTCAGATTCTGGGAAAAGATTAAAATCCAGAAGTGGTCACACAACCAGAACTTTCTGCCGGTTTTAACTGGTAAATGCGAAGAAAATGAAGATGGTTCAAGGATGCCCTAACTTTAAATCATTACTTGGAAATGTCTTTTGAAGTACATACAGGTGGACAGCATTGTATTAGGCCTCAAACCCACCTGGAAAGGGGTTGGGAGGGGGGGGGGACTTTAAGAAACATATTGCTTTTAGACAAGGAAATTTTATGTGCTTGAATACATTGGAGAGATTGTTTTCAGGGTGTTACTGAAGGGGCTGGTACTCAGAGGTAGCCATAAGCAAGAGGAGAAGGCCAGAGGTGAAACCCAGGAACTTATTGACCCTCTGCCAGAAAAGTTAAAAAACTGCTTGGTAAGTTGTGTTATTACTCTGTCACATTGACCCAGCACTTGTGTGGCTTGTTGTTATATGCAGTCTCTAAGATGGTGCTGCTGAGGTCTACAATTTAAGAAAGTCATGTTACCCGATCATAGCTTTGTGTGGAGGTGGTGGTGGCACAGTGGCTGCATGATCTGCCTGTAAGCCCCAAGGTCTTGTTATTTGAAGCTGCAACATGTTGAATTGTTTTATCAATGTTCCTGGCCTCCAACTTGACCCAGCCAAGAATTAGTGCCAGGGGATGTCCTGGGAGGTAAAGGAAGCTCTACCAGGAGATGTCCAGGAAGTGAAGGTGGCTGTACCAGATGTCCAGGAAGTGAAGGTGGCTGTACCAGATGTCCAGGAAGTGAAGGTGGTCGTACCAGATGTCCAGGAAGGGAAGGTGGCTGTACCAGATGTCCAGGAAGTGAAGGTGGCCGTACCAGATGTCCAGGAAGTGAAGGTGGCCGTACTAGATGTCCAGGAAGTGAAGGTGGTCGTACCAGATGTCCAGGAAGTGAAGGTGGTCGTACCAGATGTCCAGGAAGTGAAGGTGGTCGTACCAGATGTCCAGGAAGTGAAGGTGGTCATACCAGATGTCCAGGAAGTGAAGGTGGCTGTACCAGATGTCCAGGAAGTGAAGGTGGCTGTACCAGATGTCCGTCCAGGATGTGAAGGTGGTCGTACCAGATGTCCAGGAAGTGAAGGTGGTCGTACCAGATGTCCAGGAAGTGAAGGTGGTCGTACCAGATGTCCAGGAAGTGAAGGTGGTCGTACCAGATGTCCGTCCAGGAAGTGAAGGTGGTCGTACCAGATGTCCAGGAAGTGAAGGTGGTCGTACCAGATGTCCAGGAAGTGAAGGTGGTCGTACCAGATGTCCAGGAAGTGAAGGTGGTCGTACCAGATGTCCAGGAAGTGAAGGTGGTCGTACCAGATGTCCATCCAGGAAGTGAAGGTGGCTGTACCAGATGTCCAGGAAGTGAAGGTAGCTGTACCAGATGTCCAGGAAGTGAAGGTGGCTGTACCAGATGTCCAGGAAGTGATGGTGGTCATACCAGATGTCCAGGAAGTGAAGGTGGCTGTACCAGATGTCCAGGAAGTGAAGGTGGCTGTACCAGATGTCCAGGAAGTGAAGGTGGTCATACCAGATGTCCAGGAAGTGAAGGTGGCTGTACCAGATGTCCAGGAAGTGAAGGTGGCTGTACCAGATGTCCAGGATGTGAAGGTGGTCATTCCAGATGTCCAGGAAGTGAAGGTGGTCGTATCAGATGTCCAGGATGTGAAGGTGGTCGTCCCAGATGTCCAGGAAGTGAAGGTGGTCGTACCAGATGTCCAGGGAGTGAAGGTGGTCGTACCAGATGTCCAGGAAGTGAAGGTGGTCGTACCAGATGTCCAGGAAGTGAAGGTGGTCATACCAGATGTCCAGGAAGTGAAGGTGGCCGTACCAGATGTCCTGAGAGTGAAGGTTGTCATACCAGATGTCCAGGATGTGAAGGTGGCTGTACCAGGAGATGTCCAGGAAGTGAAGGTGGCTGTACCAGATGTCCAGGAAGTGAAGGTGGCTGTACCAGATGTCCGTCCAGGAAGTGAAGGTGGTCGTACCAGATGTCCAGGAAGTGAAGGTGGTCATACCAGATGTCCAGGAAGTGAAGGTGGCCGTACCAGATGTCCAGGATGTGAAGGTGGCCCTACCAGTAGATGTTCAGGAAGTGAAGGTGGCCGTACCAGATGTCCAGTATGTGAAGGTGGCCCTACCAGGAGATGTTCAGGAAGTGAAGGTGGCCGTACCAGATGTCCTGAGAATGAAGGTGGTCATACCAGATGTCCAGGATGAGAAGGTAGCCGTACCAGATGTTCAGGAAGTGAAGGTGGCCGTACCAGATGTTCAGGAAGTGAAGGTGGTCGTAGCAGATGTCCAGGATGTCAAGGTGGCCCTACCAGGAGATGTCCAGGAAGTGAAGGTGGTCGTATCAGATGTTCAGGAAGTGAAGGTGGCCGTACCAGATGTTCAGGAAGTGAAGGTGGCCCTACCAGGAGATGTTCAGGAAGTGAAGGTGGCCGTACCAGATGTCCTGAGAATGAAGGTGGTCATACCAGATGTCCAGGATGAGAAGGTAGCCGTACCAGGAGATGTTCAGGAAGTGAAGGTGGCCGTACCAGATGTCCAGGATGTGAAGGTGGCCCTACCAGGAGATGTTCAGGAAGTGAAGGTGGCCGTACCAGATGTCCTGAGAATGAAGGTGGTCATACCAGATGTCCAGGATGAGAAGGTAGCTGTACCAGGAGATGTTCAGGAAGTGAAGGTGGCCGTACCAGATGTTCAGGAAGTGAAGGTGGTCGTACCAGATGTCCAGGATGTGAAGGTGGCCCTACCAGGAGATGTCCAGGAAGTGAAGGTGGTCGTATCAGATGTTCAGGAAGTGAAGGTGGCCGTACCAGATGTTCAGGAAGTGAAGGTGGCCGTACCAGATGTCCAGGAAGTGAAGGTGGCCGTACCAGATGTCCAGGAAGTGAAGGTGGTCGTACCAGATGTCCTGGGAAGTACCACTGGTATGAAAAGGGCCCTTAGTTGTTTGTTTTTTTCTTTTTAGAAAGGTGTCCATGTTATTTTGTGTTATTTTACTTCTTACTTTTTCTTCTCAGAAAATTCTTTGGTAGACCTTTTTTTTTCTTCAAAAGAACTTGTTGACTTCATTTATAAATGAACTCAAGGCAAAACAATCCTTTTCTCGCCAGGGCTTTGAATCCTGGCCACTGTCCCATAAACCTGAGCACTATCCATTACGCTGCCTTGGCTACTAAAAATGATTACAACTATAACATATTTTGTCAGTGAAAGGTTAAATCAAATGATAAACCTGGGCGTGCACAACAACGATCATTCTATGTATACTAATTTAGGAAGCTACTTTAAATATCCATTTGGTGCCTGTTAGTCCCAAAACAAAATGCTGTGTTGCATGGAAAATGATTTTTCACTGAAAGACTGCATACCCTGGGTATACTGAATGAAGCGGCGAGACAGGAAAACCTTGTGAGAGCCACTCATCGTTACATCAAGCAGAACAGAATGGGAGTTGTTAGCCTAAAAACACTTGGAGACATCCTCAGGAGGAGATTGGAGCACTTATGGTCATGTGCGATGAAGATGGTCTTAATAATAAACAATAATCAATGATCCAAAAACAAAACACAAAAAAGATTTGGACTAAGCACTATTTACCCAATGAGCCAGTCGTTTGCACTGGATCCTTTACTCTTGTCTCATACAGAATAGTAATCATATATGTTTGTAAGCAAAAATAAATGTGAAGAAAGTAACTGCTATCTATTTTGTTGCTATTAGGTTATATTGAGCCCGTTTTTGTTGTTTATTTTCAGAAACAAAGGCTACAATCAGATGCCATAGTGTGTATCATTGTCACCATCTTAGTGTTTGCAGTACACGTCAGCACAGCTTTTACAAGTCCAGCCTTACAGGTAAGCTTGTCTTTTCCCGTGTGGTTTCTGGGGCCTATTCTTGGGGGAATAGCCACTGCTCCTCCTAAGCATGTTGTAAAAGACAACTAATTAAAGGTTTGCTGCAGCTGGATGTATTGGTCGGAAACCAGAAGATCTGAACATCAAATAAGATTGGCTAATAGATAGCATCTTGAAAAAAACTGCCATCTCCACATAGAGGTTGGCTGCAATATATTCGCTGCAGACAGTGCTAATATTACATTTTGAGGTTTTAGCCTCTTCCGTGGTATGACTTTCTTACTAGTGTTTGAAAGTCGTTAGAACGGGGTGTTTTTTTTTAACCACCCACTATAGGAATCACACCCTGGTAACTGTTGAGGATTACATTGTGAAACCATCTTATAACCTCACTACTTCAAAACCCACATCATGAGATTAGAATAGTCCTAATTAACAAGCTTTAAAAATTGAACATGAGGATATACTGAGCATCTTTCTAAGGCAAACTGCATGTAGACAAGATAAAGATGGTACTGTAGGAGATTCTGCTATTGAAATATAGTGTTATTTGTGCAATGTTAAAGAGATTTGTGTTCATTGTAGATGATTTCTGTTTCAGCCTGTATTGAGTGATGTTCTCTACTTGATAGCTGCAAGTGTGGGCTTCATTGTCCACTACATCATCCCTCAGACAAGGAAAGAGATGCCCTGGCTTTGCTGTTCACATCCATTGCTGCGCAGCAAAGAGTACATGTATTTTGAGGTCAAAGGTTAGGTCACTGCTAGCTTTTAGCAATTGTAGGTTTATTAAAAGAAGTTTAGAGTAGTGTTCCAAGACAATCTTTAGTATGCACTATCAGTTTTTTTTTTTTTTTTTTTTTTTGAGTATTTGTTGTATCAGTAATATAATGGTTAATTCATTCACTTGTCACAAAAATACAGTATGCCATTAAATAATGACCACCTTCTTATTGTCTGTGAGTAATAGAATAGTGGGTTTTTTGTGTGTTGTTTGGGTAACATTACAAGTAATCTAATTTTCAGAGGCACCAAAGATTATATGGATTGAACGACTCTATCTGGGCTTGAGGTTCTTCGAGCGCAATGTTGTCTGTCCAGTTGTTTGCTTATGTGCCACGACCACATCTGCTCCAGCCATTATCTGCAAATTTGGAAACTAGTAAGTGGTGTTACACAGACATGTCGATATATCTTATTTAAATCATTGTAATATGCATGATATAGATGTTGTGTTTGGTGATTGGTGATTGTTTGAATTCACAGCTATCATACAGTGGTAACATTAATGTTCAGTGTAACAGTTTGATAGCATACAATGGTAAGAGTAATGTTCAGTTTCACAGCTATATAGCATACAGTGGCAACAACAATATTCAGTTTTACAGCTACATAACATACAGTGGCAACAGTCATGTTCAGTTTGACAGCTACATAACATAACAGTTACAACAGTAATGTTCAGTTTCACCGCTGCATGACATACAGTGGCAACCGTAATGTTCAGTTTCACAGCTACATAACATATGTTGGCAACCGTATCGTTTACTTTTACAGCTACATAATGTACAGTAGCAAAAGTAATGTTCACTTTCACAGCTACATAAAATGCAGTGTCAACAGTAATGTTTTATTTCACAGCTCTACATAACATACAGTGGCAACCATAATGTTCACTTTCACAGCTACATAACATACAGTGGCAACCATAATGTTCACTTTCACAGCTACATAACATACAGTGGCAACCATAATGTTCAGTTTCACAGCTACATAACATACAGTGGCAACAATGATGTTCAATTTTACGCCGACTTAACATGCAAAGTCGTGAGAAGTAAAGGGGCTGGTATGATGTTGACCACATGTCACCCGCTGAGAGCTGATTGGTCTATAAAATATAGGTCTAATACTTTTATGCCTGAAGGCATGAAAAAGGGCCCTTTTTAATTTTCACACCCCAGCAAGTGATGAGATTATCTATACAGATTGTTGTGTGTTGAGGGGCAGTCAAAGTGCATAGGGTTTCATAGCAAAGGCGAAAGGTTGTCGCCTGGTGCAGCAAAGCCTTGCATATGATATCACAACATCTAGTTTGAGAATGGAGTTGGAGGCAGTCTCTGCTGGCTTGAGAATCAGCCTTGCACACATGCCGTGATTGTAACTGACTCACAGGGTATGTTGAGAAAGGTGAAAACAGGCATGCTTCGAGCAGAGTGGCAAGCATCACTTCAGAGGTCCCAGGTAGTTACCATCCTTTGGATATTTTCTCCAGGTGATGCGGGTGTGTTGGGAAATTAGCATGCAGATAGACTGGTTGACTCTGCACCACTTGGTGGTGAATTGATGTATGACAACTTAGATATTATGAGGGCCCTTTGGGAGCGAGTGAACATTGAGGAGTCGCAGATAGTTCATTACGGTCCAAGGAGTATGGCACTGCGAGAAGTTACAGGGTATCTGGCCGATGCTCCACACTCAGAGGAAGGATGAGACGGATATACAATCAGACGGTTCCTGGTACCATCGGAATTGGAACTCTTCGCTTGTTGCTGAAGATAGGGACTGAGCACTTATGGGAGTGTCCCGAGTGCTGTCATGTCGATTCTTAATTCAACATTCAATCCCAGCAACATTTTCTGCTGTGGGTCATTTGCTATGATCTTTACACTGCCTAATTGAGAATTTGTAATCATGACTACTTTATTTGGAAATAAGTGTTTACTAATGTAGTATTTATCCATTCCACAGCGCTGGTCCATTGATTATTCTCGTCTGCAGCCTGAAAATGTTACGCTTTGCCTTCTCTGACACTCCAAGACAGTACCTCATCATTGCTTTCACATACTTTTTCTTCAAGTATGATTTTCGATGGTCATCAGAAACGTTCCTGATTGATTACTTTTTTATCTCCATCTTATTTTGTAAAGTAAGTGATGAATTATTCCAGTTGTTTAAGATTGTAGCATTTCTTATTCATGTATATTTTGTTTCTGCGTTCACCTTTAAAAGGGTGGTTGCTGCGCATTGTTGTGGTTTACAGCTAGGCGGTGATTTGTGTCAACACACCTTAATTAGTCACCATTTACGTCTTGCTTGTTAAGGGGAAGCGTGTCAACATTTTTGGTTCAAAAAGCTGCCGACAGACATGAAATTACAGCGCCACATGACTAGAACTGTAGGCAGCAGATGTTAAGGAGGAAGGACAGACAATCTTACCTACTTGTTTGATATGAAGAGTGAACTGCCACTCTGTGTTTATTATCTAACCTAGTATATATGTGATGATAGAAGAACACTTGAGACTCCTGCAGCAGTGTCTGACTTCAGCTCACTTCATTGTTTTATGCCACATGATTATTTAGCTGTTGTACACTCAGATTTTTTTTTAAACTCTTTATTGTTCTTTGTTACATGATTATGCAGCTGTTGAAAACCCAGACTTTTTTTCCCCCAGTTTTGTGACCTCATGCTGAAGCTGAATTTCATCATCACATACATTGCACCCTGGCAGATTACGTGGGGATCCGCCTTTCATGCCTTTGTCCAACCCTTCAGCGTTCCTCGTATCCTTTGTTGAATGTTTGGTGAATATTTTTTCAGTGTTATTTGAAGTGAGGATTATTCTCAAAGCTCAGTTTTTTCGGGTGATATTTATGCAGTGTATTAGGTGCACTGGTGTTACTAATGCAGTAGTTAGTACTCAGTTGACAACACAGTGAGAGCAGATTATATTTGCTCTAACAAAAGCAGATTCAGGGTTAGCCAGGCTGCTTAAGGTGGGTACCGGAGATTTCTTTTGTGAAAATAAAACTTGCCAGGGTAACTGACCATATCACCCCACACCTGTACAGTCTAAAACTATGTTTCCAATTTGCTTCGATGGCACATAATTGGTCTTGCTTTTACTTTGCAACTTACCTTTATTTAACTATATATATATATATATATATATATATATATATATATATATATATATATTATATAGAAGGATAATGAGATTGACATGGAAACAAACAAATATAATAAAGTTGTCCTGAAAGAAATTAACCCACAAACACTGTTGATCACACATAAAATGTAATGAATGTGTCTTAACATAAATTAACCGGCAAAGAGAACCTATCACTCAGAAGATGTAATGAACCTGTCTTGAAAGAAATTAGCTAACTAGTGAAGAGAACCGATTACCCAGAAAATGTATTGAATTTGTCTTGACAGAAATCAACTAACCCACAAAGAGAACCGATCATCCAGAAAATGTAATGAAGAAGTAAACTAATCCACGAAGAGAACTGATCACACACAAAATATAATGAAGATATCTTAAAAGAAATTAACCCGCAAAGAAATTAGTCATTGGCAAAGTAGGAAGAGATATGGGGGTAGACCAAGAGAGAGGATGTTACACAGTTTGTCCTCACAGCGCGTATAAAACATCTGTATCAGAAATGGTTGGTACTGTATAAGACAGCCACACACAGTGACTATCGTGGGCTGTATGTGAGAAGAAGAGCTAGATATTTGTTAGAGTCTGTTATTTATTGTTGGAACAAAGGGGTTGTAATGTAACAGTTGTGTTTTTCTTGATGCTTTTCCTTAACTGGCTCCAGATAGTGCCATGTTGTTTCTGCAAGCTATTGTTTCTGCCATTTTTTCCACCCCTCTAAATCCATTTTTGGGAAGTGCAATATTTTTCACATCATATGTGAGGCCAATCAAGTTCTGGGAAAGAGACTATAAGTAAGTATCCGTAACTTTACTCATAACATTTTAGTTTTCATCCATGCCTCGAGACCACTCAGCCTCCCCGTCTCAGGTGCTGGAGGTCCCGGGTTCAGGCCTCGGTGAGGGCTAGGATTTTTCCATGTGGACTTCTAGTAATTTCCCCTTGTCTCTGGGTAGTAAGATCAGACGCCCCTGTGTATTGTTAACTAAAAGTAGAATGGAGCACATATGGGTTGCTACCCTTGTGCCATAATGTTGATCCGTTGTGTAAACGATAAACAATTTTCATCATTGCTACCATTTTTTTTAAGTTCCTTCTAGAGAAAGGGTTTTATTACCACAAAAGGCCATAACTAGAGTTGGTGATTTTAGCATTACACATGTCTAATTATAACTACACAAGTGTCTAGAAAATCTGTCTCTTTCCTATGTTTTTCCACATCTTTTTTACTGATAAATACATTTGGAGAGTTTTTTTAATGTTCTTAACATTTCATGTATGATTACAATCAAATCATTAAAAAAAAAGTACTGAGCTGGTCACATAAACATTGTATAATACCATTCCCTTGATCAAACAATAAGCAGAACCAATAGACACCAAAAGAAAGTAATGACACAAAAACATTATGCAGCATTCATATGTGTGGGTGTAAACAGCAGTCATTCAAACTTTCTATGCTGCTGTGCCAGTTATCAGGTTCAAATACTACCCCCATACCATCTCCACCAGTAAAAAAAAAAATACTCTCAGTATATGCCAGATCAGATTGTCTTTACCAATTGAAATTCATTGTGAAGCTGCATATGTGGGCGAAACTGATTAGCGGCTGGAGAAATGAGCCAGTCAAGCATATACGACTAAGAGTGGTTAAAGCAGACAACAACAATAATTCAACAAACACCATTTAGAAGAGCTGTTGAAAATGTCTGCCCCTTCCTGTTGCAAGCAACCTCTTAAACACTGGCCACATTTTAAACAAGGACAGGACATTTCCAGATTTGTTCTGACAGAAAAACACGGTCGAGCACCTCTGTTTGCATTGGTAAAACAGTTCATTACTTTTCATCATGGTTGATTTTGTATTTCAGTTAGGATTCATTTATTGACTTCATTTTATTAATTTTTTAATGTAGTACGCACCTGATGAAATACAGTTAAATATACTAGGCATTAAAATCTGGAATCTGCTGTTTTTATGTTTTTTTGTTAGGGGGTTGGTCGAAGAAAAGGAGGGCAAAGAAGAACCTGGAATGACATCATCAAGAAATGGACAGGACTAAGTTATACACTTATTCATCAAGCAGAAGACAGAGAGATCGTGGGTTTTATGTGCTAGTGCTTCCATCAGTACACCTCCATGACCCTAATGGGTCAGGGGTTATGTTATGTTAGCTGTGTTCATGCTTGGGCAAACTATGTATCTTCATAATACTTGAAAAATAAATTACAATTTCAAAATGACCCGTCTATTTCATTGCAGTACCAAGCGAGTTGATCATACTAACACAAGACTGGCATCTCAGCTTGAGAGAAATCCAGGTCAGTTGTCACAGAGTGAGAAAGTGGAGCCTTGATGTTCACAATTCAAATGTTCAATTATCATCATCATCATAAACCACTTATGCCGTTAAGCGTCGTGGGGAGGAATAATTTGTGATCCAGTGCACGTTGGCTGCCACTGGCTATTGTCCTGCCATGAAGGCGTAGAGTGTCTTTAATGTTGTCGATCCATGTTTTCCGCGGCAGTCCTCTTGCTCTTGTAGCTGATATTCTGAGATGTAGTGCTTGTGATGGTATTTGATCTTGCGGCATTCTAACAAAATGGCCAAACCACTTAATCTGCTGTTTCTTGGTGAATCTAGTACAAGGTGTCGTTCCCACAATTTGCCTGATAGTTTCATAATCCACCCTATCTCGGATGGTTAGGTTGGCTGCTTTTCTCAGGCACCTTATCTCGCAGGTGGTGATTTTGCGTATATGGGCTTTAGATAGTGTCTGTTTGGCACTGGTAGCTTAATGTTGGAATGAATATGCTATTACTAATCTGTCTCTTTGCACTCATAGTTATGCTTGGATGTCTTAATAATGGTGACAATTGGTATATTAGTGCACTTGCTTTCTGGCATCTGGTTTCTATTTCTCTGTCAATTCTACCATCTTCTGTGATCATACTTCCTAGATATTTAAACTCCCTAACTTGATTCAGAGCAGAACCATTCATCTGTATGTGTAGTGGGGCAGGGGTTCTACTAACTTGCATTGTTTCGGTTTTGTTTACATTGATCTTCATGTTGTAATTATGTTGTTAAGAATTAGAGCACAGCAATGGTTGTTGCATGTTGTTTCTGATATAGTCTGTAAAGCCTACTTCTGCAAGAGATATTCACAGAAAGTGTGATCGAGTGGTGCTCTGGACTTGCTGCTGTGAGGGTTGGTTACCTGGAATTCCTAGTTACTACATCACATTATTGTTGAAGTCGTCCTCTCGTGGGATGCAATTTTTTGTGGGTTTTTTTTAAGCCCTACCATGGCTTTTGCCGGGGGACCTGAATATAGCTGGGCTATAAATATGGCCTAAACGGCTGAAAGGAGTTTCTGGGACCTCTCCACTGTTGATCCTCATCCGCATGGTGACACTTTGTGTCACCGGGTGTTTATCACTTGTGTGGCGTCCTGATGGGGTACAACTACCTACCTACCTTGATTAGGGGGTGTGTGTGATAGAGTAGTATACCTCTCTACTGCTGTGAGGGTTTGTCACAGAACTGTAAAGGATATGCTCACCAGGTTACTTCTGTGGGGGTTGATAAGTTATAAAATGATAGTAGAATAGTACTCAAAGATAAATATCCCATGTTATTGTGTTGTTCCATTCATTAGAATGCAGTCAGTAGACAAGTGTATTGTATCAACCGATATGTTTATTTTTTTTTTTTTTTTTGGGGTATATTTCTAGGGGCTGATGACAACAATCTCAACTCCATATTTTATGAGCATCTGACCCGTTCCCTTCAGCACAGCTTGTGTGGGGACCTCTTGCTGGGTCGCTGGGGCAACTACACACAGGGAGACTGTTTCATCATGGCTTCAGACTATTTGAATGCTTTGGTGCATATCATAGAGGTGGGGAATGGGCTGGTCACATTTCAGCTGCGAGGACTGGAGTTTAGAGGTAATGTGTCCTGAGTTTTTGTGTGTGTTGCAATTAAGTTTGTTTTGACATGTTTACTCGAAGTAGAATTGATGAAGTGAGTGCACATTCAGATAAACATCTGTATTCACCCTCAACAGGGTGGTTGGCACACTGTGTTGTGGTTTACAGCTAACCTGCAGTAACTGCCCCTTTCAGCTCTTCTCATACTATTTCAAAAAACTTTAGTTAATGGCCTTTTATGGCACACTTGTTAAGTAAGTCCCCAGCAGGGCTCCAGAACCCACATGGGGAGTTCAGATATATAAAATGATCATTTAAAAAAAAAAAATATATATATATATATATATATATATATATATATATATATATATATATATATATATATATATATATATATATATATATATATATATATATATATATATATATATCCAGGTTCACAAGCACAGCGGATGAAGAAAGAAAACCACACAGTATCACCACTCTGACTTAGTCGACGTGTGGTCTGGTGACTTATAGCTGTACTGTTTTCTTTACTCCATTCCAAATTCTTTCATTAGTATTTTCTACTATAGATTCGAATCCAGTTTGTTATCATAAAACCTGTTCATTGGTGTTTGCAAAATATGGGTCTGGTACCAAATGCCACTGATGTGAAAAGGATCCATTAATTTTTGGGAATTTATTTCCCTATGACTGTTTTAATCACTGTATTTGATGATTACATAATTGGATGAGTTGTCCTAAAAAATTATATAATCTTTTGGAGTTCCTCTTTAGTACTATATACAGATTGGAGCATAGTGGTGATTCATTCAGTAGGCAAGGCAAGTTCAGAAAACATTCAGTGGTTTGTTTGCCTTATCCCTAGCACATAGTGATGAAGCAGACATGTTAATCCTATACATGTGTTTATTCACTTTGTTAGACATATCTTTAGGCACAGAATGGTGATTTGATGAAGAAAAAGACAATGTTAAAAAAAATGAATTATTTGTTTCAAATGTATGGGAGTGCATACGGACTGTTATAGGCATTTGCCTCCAGTATTTAGAATGTTTCTGTGAGTCTCTGCAGAGATTTGATTCTTGTTGCATGAAAGGAGTGCGCTTTACTTGCATTAAAATTGACTCATGTTTCTTACCATTTATCATGTCAGTGTAAGATTGCAGTAGCTTGTATTTATCACCTGCTTGAATTGTTCCTATCTTTCTTATTAGGTACTTATTGCCAACAGCGAGAGGTAGAAGCCATAACAGAAGGAGTTGATGAAAATGAGCGTAAGTTATGTATTTTTTAAATATGATCTGTAACATACGGGTTTTTTTAGAGGGGGGGGGGGGGGGGGCATTTTTTTTATATTCGTCACCAAAACGAAAATTATATTGCCTCTTTGAAGTTTTACATTCACTGTCTTTGAGGGGAAAAAATTCCTTACAGATGGGAAAAATTTGACTTTACATTTTAAGCAAGGATTAAAAATGAAAAAAAAATACAGATACAGAAGGGGGTATGGAGAAGCAGACCAGAGTTGGGCTGTTTCTGTAAAATATTTTCAGTCACTGGCTCAAGTCAAGGCCTTTGTGCAAGTTACTAATGATGAAAAAAATTCTCTGCCTAGCAGTCTGAAATATTTTGGAAGAAGCTTATTGAAAAGAGGAAAGTCATGGATAGCACTAGTTGAAGATACCATTGGGCCGGCGGCCTCAGTTGAGCAGAATATACAGGGGCAGGAATAGGCCAATTGCAGTACAAACAACAGCGGTTTCCATCATGTTATTATCACATTAGGAAGAGTGTAGAGAGTAGTGAACCGGTAGTGTACCGGTACCGGTGGCAGAATTAGAGGTACAACTTATAGATGAAAATACTGATGCAGCAGTATATACCAGTGGTTCTGTTCATCGGGGTGAAAAATCTGGCTGTGAATTTTCAGCTAGAGTGAAAGGGAAAGATAGTGGCTGAATAGAATAGTACTTTTTTATCAACAACCTCAAACGTGATGGAGGTGGAGGCAATAACTGCAACTTTGAAGTGGATAGCAGAAAATAGAGTAACCAGAGGAATTATAGTGACTGATTCTCAGTCGGTACTGCAGAAGGTTCAAAATGAACAATTGTGACGACTTCTGGTCATGATGGCGAGGCAAGGGGATATTATTTTTCAGCCAGCATCTAACCGGGGTCAGTTTCATCCTGGAGTCACTAATGTTCATCACATATGTCGACCAAATTTGCAAATCATCTAACACCATCAAAGGGGACAACATTGGAGAATTACTAAATGAATAGCTTTTCGTCAGTGACCAGGCAATCATAGCACCAACAGCAGTACAACAACAAGAACATTTCAATAAACTCCACTCAGAATGCGACGACTACGATATGAAGATCAACGTAACAAAACAGAAGCGATGACATTCTCAAGAAAAGGAAGATTCACCAATATCAAAATTGATGGATCCAGTTAATGCAGTCATAGGATTTTACATATCTGAAGAGTATTAATTTTTTTAAGGAATGACTGAAGAATTAATAAAGAAATCCAACAAAGATGCAGTAAAGCCAGTCAAGTTTTAGGCCAAATGACAATTTTGAAATGCAAGCATGTGAATATGAACAGTAAAAGAACACTGTTCAACACAATATTCTTACCACAATATTCTTACCAAAGCTATGCTATTAATTTCAGACATGGACACTGTCTTTAGAAAAGAGAAGGAAAATAGTCACAAAAGAAATGAAATGTTTACGTACTATGCTAGGAGTAATGATTAAAGATTGACTTAAGAATGATTTATATCAAGAGGAAAGTCGACACAGAGCAAGTACTGAACTTTACAGAGAGCAGTGCTATACAGATACAGCAGTAACAGACCCAGAGGTCAACCACGGAGAAATATCAGAGACACTGAAAAGTACTTTGAATGTAGCGAACAGGAAGGTCCGTTCCAGAGATCTCTTCCTGCCCTGATGCCGCGATGCATTCCAGGGTTAGAGAAAAGAAGAAGTGAATACCGAGCATCAGCACATCAGCATTACAGCAACTCATGTGGATATTCTGACTGAGATATGCAGGAGTGGAAGGAAATAAAAGAGTTGATTTTCTGGCTGCAAATGTGATTGCTTCATGAACACTCGTACTGGACAAGGAAGATATAGTGAAGACATTATGAACAAATTTGAAAGAAGGTGACACCCCCAGACCCACCCAAACACACACACACCACTCACACACACATGCACATGTACAAATTGCACATTATAGAACAAAATGGAGGAATCAACTGGAAGCTCTATAGAATATAAATGGCATGTTGGGAGAATCAAGGAATCATATGTCTGTGTAATGTAAATTAAATCTACTTGGGTATGTCAATTTTCTCTGTAGGGTTTTGTTGCTTTGAGCCCGGCCACCTGCCTCACTTTCTGTCACTGAATGCTGCTTTCAGCCAGCGCTGGCTGGCCTGGGAGGTGGTGGTTTCCAAGTATATTCTGGAAGGATACAGCATTTCTGACAACAGTGCTGCCACCATGTTGCAGGTGTTTGAGTTGCGCAAAGCTCTCATTACCTATTATATCAAGGTATTTGCTTTTTGTTAATTTTACTGTCAAAGTCTTTGCCTATTATTTATTTTACTCAATGCATAGTATTTTTATAAATTGTGTTTTAAAACTATGAGAATAGTGAATCCTTGCTAGCACTCAAGGTCTTGTATTGTTTAGCTACTGTACAATGTTAGGAAAGCATAAAGAATTACCCAGCATGAGTGTGTAAATTCCACCAAAGACAAACTTTCTGCACTTTGAATCATTAAATTAAACATCGTACCAAAATAAAATGGAAGCTTCAATAAAGAGGTAAATTATAAAATAAAAGAGCAACACAAAATTAGATTTGAAGGTATAAGAACAATGGGCTATCCCCCGCCTAACGGTCCTAAATTATCGAGGCGGAAAATATACCCTAACAGGGCCTCAGTCACGTTCAGTTGCGCACTTCCCGGGACTATAAAACCACTGCCTAATTGCGAACTCCGCCACCGCCGAAAGTATGCCCCACACCGCATGAACGGCGTGGATTGGGGCTAAACTAGATGGCTAGGACTCACGAGCAAATAAAATGAAGGAAGCTGCAGGAGATGCAGTAGCTGCTGCTCGTGAGTCCCAGCCATCTAGTTTAGCTCCAATCCACGCGGCGTGAGGTATACTCTCGGCAGTGGCGGAAGTCGCAGGGAGCGCGTAATTTAAGACGGCAGAAGTGCGTAATTGACACGTGACTGAGGCCCTGTTAGGGTATATTTTCCGCCTCGATAATTTAGGACCGTTATTCAGAGGATAGCCGAACAATGAATATGTAGACCTGTTGTTAAAAACTTGATGCATTCATTTATGTTTGACACTAAAAGAAGCAGTTGTATGGGCATTTAACCAGTGTGTAAGAGCCATTTAACCTTAGAAGCATTTTGTCCAGCAAGTCCTGAATCAGGCGCACATCTTGTAGCACCTCAATCCCATAAATGCTGCTTATTCACCATTTCTACATTGCCTTAACCCAAGCAGCCTGGTTAATACCATTGGTTATATTTGCACCTGTGCAGCATTTAGGAGGTCAGGGTATAAATATATTTACTAAAAATAGCATTCATGGCATTTTCTTGTGAACACAGTAGCTATTTTAAAGCCATTATGATGTCCTAATTTTTCAGTAGCCTTATTGTTAGAATTCCAACAACGTCATGTAGTGAGTCGCCCAAATTGTCATTTGTTTTTTGTTTTTAGGTTATGGTTAGGACATCTGTTTTATTGTTTATGTTTATTTAAAGCTGCTGTATTGTATCTTTCATTTTGTTAATGATTGCTGTGTTTACCCTCATGAATCAGCTGTTTATTTCTGTTGATAGAGCATCATATATTATATGGTTCGGTCACCTCGACTGGAGGAGTGGGCAGAGAATTGCACCATTCGCCAGGCGCTGCAGGCTCTTGAAGATGACACTTATGTTGACCTGGACCCAACATTTAATCTCCACATCGATGAGGACTTTGATTCCCGACTCCAGGGAATCTCTCGTAACAGTTTCTGCCAGGTGTACCTTAGTTGGATTCAGCATTGTGCCCACCGCAGAGACAAGGTTAGGGGATGTCTCATTTTATGGACATTTCTTGTTTATTTGAGCAGTCTATGCTTTCTTGATAATTCACATATATTTTCTTTTTGTTAAACTGGAAGCTTAAACTGTTTGAAGAAGGTTTAATTTTCACACATTCCGCAATTTTAACACAGTTTAGTGATTTTCTGCCAGGAGTCTATACCATCTATACTATATCCCTCCTTGCCAATTTCATAATTAGAAACCAGTGTGTTTCCATTGTTCTTCTTCTTCTTCTTTCGTTCGCTTGAAATAGATTATCTATATCTGCAATTTTGCCTCTAGTATAAACTTCACTGTCTTTTGTAATTCACTCAGCGACCCCTAAAGTTTTACTTGCACCGATGTTTCTCTTAACCAAAAGTTTTGCCTTGATATGTTGTATTTGGGACAGTCTTGGAGGACATGATCTGTTGTCTCAGGTGCACATGGCTGATTTGCCGATTTTAAATGTTGTGTACATGTGGCTGCGAAGTCAATTGTGTCCTGTTCTAAAGTGTAGATAATAACTTGCTCTGGTTGTTTCCATTGTGAATTTAAATAAAGGCCACATACAGTATATTGCACAATTTATTGCCTGGCATATTTCACTGTATCTTGTTAGCAGGAAAACTACAGAATTTACATCAACATATAATGAAGTGCAGCAATGAATCCTTTTAACTGATTTATATAGTTACAGTGAACACACAGTCATCATAGGACTCTTAGATTTATCATGTGTTCCTTTTGTTTACAAAACATTGAATTGCTTTTCTTAAATCTGACCACTTAAGCTGATGTCAAAATGTTTTTGTCCATGGTGTCATAAAAATCTGGAAAGCACAATCTCTAAATTTTTCAAAATGGCCCCAGTTCCTAGCAAGTCAGAGGGGCTGAGACATTGCATCTTATCCAGCAGGACGATCTGGTTGTAGGCAATTTTCACAAATTAGGAACCCCTGGATGTAGCTCGTCCTCCTCTGATCCCTGGGTAATGGATTAAGACAACTGGTGTTCTCAGACAAGGATAAAAATTGATGCCATGTGGATGTTAGGAGTCACTTATCAGTTGAAAATTGAAAAAAAAATTCTAGGCTGCTGCCAAGTAACAGTTCACATTAAAAAAACCTACCCACAGCAAATAGTTAACAAGATGGAGCACCTCCCCACTACCATCGAGCTTGTATTAACCTAAAGCTAGTCCCATAACAGATACTGCCATTAGAGTGTATACCGTTAAGTCTTCACACATTTTAGGCCATGAAAATGAAGTGGATGGCCAGTTCCCTTATTCAATGCCCTTTCTGCCCAGAAAATGATGGATTATCTGGCACCCATTTTTATCAGTTGGTCAATCTCCTTGATGAGTTTCTTGGGATAATTGGTAGTTTTTCCCTTGCTTTCTACATCCACAAGGCTTATGTCCTTTTAGATTGCCATTGCCAGGGCAAGTGAGTACACTGCTCTTCGATACTCCTGCTAACAGCAGAGGGCACCCAGAGGTGTTCACTTATCCACTTATAAAGGTGGATTCTCAGTCCCCATAGCTGCGTTGGCCACACCTCAGTTTGTCTACCATCATGTGTAGGTGCATTTATGGTTTACCCTCGCTGAGTCTTGAGACCAGATGGCATTTCCCAACTCTCCAGTACTTTTAGAGGACCTCCTACCCCTGCTAGTAGAAAAAAACCTACCAACATCTAGAGATTGACCACTGACCAAAGTCTTTCCAGGCAACTTGAATTTTTAAATTTTTATATATTTATTTAGATTTTTACTTGTATCAAAACGTGTATGTTTTTTAGACACCCTGTATTTTATATTGCTTTTTTTTTTTTTTTTTTCAAATGTCTGTTTTAGACTGTCAGCAGTAGCAAGTCGTCCATGTTGGTTACCCTATGCTACGCTCTCAGCTTGTTAGGTCGCCGTGCTCTGAGTGCGGCCTCTCATAACTCAGCCAGGTAAAAACAGATTGAACCCTAGCCTTCTAGTTTCTGTGTTTTAGTAAAGAATTTCTGGTTGTATTTCTAGAACAGTTTGTACTCATTTGGTGGTTCGTGGACCCTTGGGTCACGAAACAAATTTAAAGGGTTCTTGGTGTCATTTATTTAAAAAAAAGAACCTTGACTTTAGAATGTGATCTTTTTTGCTGTTCTAATATCTTCTTCTATTGCTTCTTCTTCTTTTGCGTTCACTTGCTGTAAATTCTGACAGAAAGTTCTAGTTGTTCATCCACCTTTGAACTTTAGTCCTGTTCTAGAATCTGAATATTTTGTGCACATCTGTTTTACAGATCTTGACTTATTTGTTTGCAGACTGGTGGTTTCTTGCTTCTTAGGCAGATGTACTCCGACTTCAAAGAGGGTTTTTTTTTTAGGCAGTCGGTCTGTAGTCGTTTCCCGACAACAGGGCCCTGGAACCACACTGGGACTATTCTAATTTAATTTGCCCATTCTTGTCTGTGGGTGGGTTGTTTTTTTTTTTTTTTTTTTTTTTGTTGTGTGTGTCGGCTGTGATACATGTATTCTTCTATGCCATGATACTAAACATGCAACATCTGTCTCTTCACTTCTCTTCTTTTCCAGCTATTGTATTGTCACAGTCTGTTTCAGTTGTTCCCTTTTTGTGATGTGTCTACTCAATTAACATTTCAAAATTGACTCTTCCATTTTCTCTCACTGTTTAAGAACATGTTGCCCTAGATTTCTTCTTCCTTGTTCATCCTCGAAATGGTGCTGGTTTTTGTTGTTGTGTCTGTAGCAGATGCTGTGATGTTATGCATTGTACAGCCAGATTATTTGATGCATTTTACAGCCAGATTATTTGATGCATTGTACAGCAAGATTATTTGACTTCCACACAGCAGTTTATCTGTTGTTCAAATCTGCATTAAAACACTTTGTGTAGTGGGATTTTTTTTTAATTTATATTGGCTCTCAAATTATGCTAGTCTCAGTGGGTGCCAGCTAGTGTCCTAGCAAGTAAAGATAACTAGCATGGTATTGACCATAACCCCATGAGTGCTGATTGGTCTGTGAAAATATAAGTCTAGCTTTATATGCCTGATGTGCCAAAGACCTGAAAATGGCCCTTTACTTACTTAAACATTTTCTTTGGCTAGCTTTACCTTCCCTGTTACATCCCTCTTCTCCCGGTGTGGGTTCCAAGACCTCATTCTGGGGAAAACAAGAATAGACCCACTGCCTCCCCAACAGGCATGTTGTCAGACTTGACTCATTTGAGGTTTCCTTTAAAGTTGGAGTGCATCTGTCCAAGAGCCAGGAACCAACACAGTCTGCAAACAGATAAGTCAGAACTGTAACATGGATGTGTAAGCAATGCCAGATTCTGAAACAATACCTAATTCCAGAGGTGGAAGAACAGCTCGAACTTTCCACCGAAGTGTGCTGCCAGTGAACATGAAGGAGAAGAAGAAATCTCTAACCAGCCATACTATACAGTTGTAGATTGTTGTTCTATCACTACTACTTGGTCAGTTAAAGTTCAATGGACTAAATTTTACTTTTGCATTTTGCTTTCAACTGTCCAGGTAAATTTAATGTGGATATACAGTTCTAGTCTAATTTCCTAACTTTGAACTTATTCATATTGCCAACATTTCATGTTCATTGTTGACATAAACCTTCACCCATCTACATTCCAAAAGTTCAAGACCACATAGTAAATAATTGATATTTTCACACTGTTTTCGAGTGTTGCATTAACAACTCTTTTAAAGGTGAATGATGATACAGCGATTGCATTTAGTTGGTCCTAAAATATCAGTGAATGTAATGCTCCCTAACAGTATGGAAAACTGAATTGTTTAGTATAACAGTGCACATAGTGGTCTAAGGGAAAGATATAAAACTGAACGAAAAGTAAACATAGTGGTCTAGAACAGTGGTTCCAAAACTTCTGTGGTTCATCAGCACCTTTTCAGTGAAGAAAATCACTCAGCCTCCCCCCCCCCCCACCCCCCTTCTTTTTATCCTTTCCTTTTTTCCTTGTAAAAGTCATCATTATGTGGCAGGCGGATAAGCACAGACGGTCATGGCTAGCCGTCCTGCACAATCAGTAGAATCACTGATCAGGTCACTGTTCTTGTCCTGTCCTATAAATGCGACCATGCAATCAAGGTATTTATAGTTTTGCTTCCCCTGTACCCTTTCTGTCAATTTTGAAAGTTGTCACCAGGTTCTTATGTCTGTTCCTTGCCTTCAGATATGCCTTCTGTAATTGGAGAAAATTAAAAAAAACAGAATGGTGCAATGCATTTTTGAGAATCATCTTTCGTCCTACTTTTTACAACATGTTCTGTCCATGATTTTTTTTTTTTTTTTTGGGGTAGTTTTATCACCAGTTCAGCTTCTTAGATTGCTTCAAGGGTGTCTTTGGCATTGTAAAGCTCAGAGACAGATGAAGCTGCATAAGGTTCCCTGTAGCTTTCCTGATCTCATCTGCCTTGCGATTTCATGATATACTACAGTGGGCTGGAATCCACTGCTGGACTAGTTCTGTTCTTGCGGACAGCATTCTGATGGGTTTTGTTTTCATAGATGATTTTGTTCTGTTTGGAGCTTGAAATAGCTTAGAAGGCTAAATCTGAATCAGTGTGTATTACAGCTTTTTATTTAGTTAAGTTGGACTGTTGAGTCTGCACAGTTGAAAACAGGGTTGCTGCATCTGCTCTGAAGTTGGTGCAAGCTTCCATGTCACTGCTGGGCATATGTCTTGAGTTTTCATTGGGTGTATAATGTATATTCACCCACTTCGTTTTGTGTAATGGCAAAACAATCTGTGTTATTTTGAAAACAAAACAGTTATGATTTTAATCTGCTCTCTCTCTCTCTCTCTCTCTCTCTCTCTCTCTCTCTCTCTCTCTCTCTCTCTCTCTCTCTCTCTCTCTCTCTCTCTCTTTTTCTCTCTCTCTCTCTCTCTCCTCTCTCTCTCTTTCTTTTTTTCTTTCTTTCTTTATCTCTCTCTATCTCATTTTCTATCTCCAGCATCCCTATTTTTTCAGCAGTGCTACTAAATGCACCTAGGACTTCTACCGCCACCTTGGACACCCCCTCCCCTCTTCCTCAAGGTGGTTGTAACAAAGTTGATCAGCAGGTTTCATTAATTATCATTAAAAAATTCAGCAGCCAGTTATAATATGTCTTCTGCCAAATGAATGAAATACATTTGCTCAGGGCCTGTATTTCTCCACAGACCTCATCAAAAATATATGATAAAGTAAGCTTTTGTTTTCCTATATATCAATGTGTATTTTTTTTTTTTTTTTGGGGTATGCTTTTCCAGTTGTTTTTTTTTTCTCTTTTCTGTTTGTGTCCTAATGAATATTGATGAGTCATTTCAGTCAGTAGAGAAATTGGTTGTCATTTGTGAATACTTCTTTTTTCCAGATAGTCAAACAGCTTTATGTTCAGTGTTGTTGTGATGGACATGTCGTCAGCTAGCATCTTCTCTTTGAACTTAATTTGATATTAAAGGTGGAAGAATTTGCCGACAACCCAGTTTTTTTTATCTCAGGCTTAGTCAGTTTTACTGATTTTTTTTTTTTTTTTTTTTAAACAAAATTATGTTCATTTTAAAAGATGAGTCCTGTAATTGACTCAGGAACTTTCCTTTACATCTTTCATTTTTCACATTCTTTTAAAGATTTAACAGCAGCATTGACCCAGGTTTTTTTTCCTGTATTGAAATTATATTTTGCCTATTTACATTCTTCTTCTTCTGTGTTGCACCTAAAAGGGTGATTCGCATGTTGTATTGGGATTTACAGCCAAGCAGCAATATCTGCATCTTTCGGACGGGTTCATCTGATTTCAGCAAACTCCTTAACAGTTGCCTTTTACAGCATGCTAGCTAGGCGGCAGTGGATCTGTGTATTGTCCCCCCCCCCCCCCCCCCAAACCCCACCCAAACACACACACACACACAATAAGACTTCAGAACCTGTGATGGGAACAAAAGGAAGATATTAAGATGTTCATTATCAATAGGACAAAACAAAGAAAAGTGACTGAAGTTGATGCTCATGAATGCTCATCTCCCATTAAAAAAAGCACATTGGGCTTGCAGAGTTGATTAGCTAGTACAATAATTTACGATGATTTTGCACACTTTTCTATAAACTGACAAGTAATTGAAAACAGAGATAGCTGCACTGAAGGCATAGTTTGTTAATAAGGTAGCAAGCTTTCTTACATTGGGTGATTTTGGATTATTTTTTTTTTTTAGTGAATTGATCCATTGGTTTTAGTTATGCTCATAAAGACAGTGCTAAAGGAGTTGGGTAAAGTACAGGTGTTTAATGTATAATGTGACCTTTATACATGTATACATATACCTTTTGTATTGACGACCTCACCCCTATTGTCTCTTAGAAACAGCTCACTTGTTCCATGTTCATATTTTTCATTAGTACCAGTGGCATAGTTATTAGTGCCATTGCCTGGCATCTGGGTTCAATCCCCAACAGTGGCAAAATTTTGTTTCTTTTCTCAGCATCTTGTAGCAGGTCCTTTGCAGAACATCACACTCATCATGCATGGTCTGCCTGGAAGAAACTCAGTTTCTCACCAGTTAATTTGCTCCATGCACTTTCCTATGCAAGGTGTCCCTTATATCCTGTGCCATCTTCATGCTGGTCGGCCCCTGCCCCTCCTTCCTGGTACCTTACCTTCTGTTATTACTCTTTTCAGTCCACTGTGGCGCTTGATATGGCCAAAATATTTCAGTTTTTAGGGACAAGATGCTGTTTACTAGCCAATCTTCCTTGATGTCCAGATCTTTTAGGATGTCAGTATTTCTTCTCATCTTGGTCCCTGGTATTCTGAGAATCTGTCTTAGGTATTTCAGCTCAAAAGCTCCTATTTTCTTTCTTAGTGCCTGCGAGATGTGTTTTTTTCTCTGCTTCATAAAAATTGGTAGTGGGCAGTTGTCTGGGGAGGAA